ACTCCACTTATCTCTCTCATTGGCAAGTCCCTCTGATAGGAAACACAGAAGGTCACATTACTGCCAGCAAGTAAAATCACAGTTCTCTTATAAAGAAAGAAGGGAAGAATGCAACTAGCAGTATCTGTCACCATTCATTAGTAAATAAATTTTTAAACATAATTATTACATTTAGTTTTCTTTCCCAAGTAGTGATCCAAAAGGACACAGTACAGAAAGACTGATCTTACACAGTCACAACCTCAGGATACTACATCTGTAATCAAGACAACCTAACCTCTATTAAGTGTGCATTGAATCTTTTGTATATGATTTATTTCACACTTTCCCCCACCTGTCACTAGATAAGTAACACTTATCTAGTTGTCAAGTAGTATGAACTTAGCCTAAAATTATGTCTCTTAAACTGAAATGAATCATGCAGTTCTACTATTTTAAGATTTAAAAAATAAATATGTATGTGTTCTTACCATTCATAGTTATGAATACTTTAAAGTTAAAACTTTGACAATTTAAATCAAGCTGGGTGCTGGTGGCTCACACCTATAATCCCAGCTATTTGGGAGGCAGAGATCAGGAGGACTGACGCTCAAAGATAGCCTGGCAAATAGTTCTTGAGACCCTATCTTGAAAATACCCAATACAAAAAAGGGCTGGGGGAGTGGCTCAAGTGGTAGAGCGCATGCCTGGCAAATGTGAGGCCCTGAGTTCAAGCCGCAGTACTGCTAAAAAAAAAAAAAGACTTCATTTAGGCATTATCTAGTAACTTCTTGCTATCCTTTATAGTTGTATGTATAGATTATGTATGTATAGATGTATAACATATATGTATAAGTATGTGTATTGTATATTTAATCACTATTTGTTACTGCTTATATAAAGTTCTGCCAGAATCAACATAAAATTATAATTATTTCTTATTGTGCTGGGGGTGCATTGTGACATTTGTAAAAGTTCTTACACTATATCATAGTTGAATTCACTCCCTCCATCAATCTCCTTTATCCCCCCATGCCCCCAACATAGATTCCTTGAGGGCCTTTCTAGAACTGTGAGTGCAGTAAACTTAGCACCATCACTTTGAAAGTGAACTTAAATTCTAAACAATGTGGTTCTATGTATATTTGCAGTGTTAACAATAGATTATTACAGAGTGGTTAAGTATTTTACTTAAGTACTTATCAACTCATTTTCTTTTATTCATTTATCCAACAACTGTGTACCCAGGTCTGATGAAGTGTTTGTTGAACAAGACAAAAAAAAATCCTTCCCTCATGAAATTTATAGTTTACTGTGATGAAAGGAAATAAAAAAGTAAATAAATACAGACTGACATATGGTAATCGGTACTATGCCTGTACAGGAAACATGGGGGGTTACTGTTTTACATAAATTAGGGAAGATTTCTCTAAGGGGATGACATTTGTGAAGAGATAGGAGTAATGAGAACGAGGTGACATGGGAGGATCAGAGGGAGAAGTGTTCATGCAGGAGGACTAGCTAGTGCAGGGCCACAAAGAGGGAACATACTTGAATGCTAAAGGAACCCAAGAGGCAAGTTTGGCTGGAATGGAGGAGTAAGGATGAAAGTGCCACGGGCTGAGCAGAGGCATTCAGAAGGAGACCAGAGCACATGGCCTCCAGAATTCACAGGGAGTCCCGAGAGGTCTTGAAGCTGGGGAAGAAAGTGATTTGATTTTACTCAAGAAAAGAAACTCACCTGGCTGATTTATGAAGAACACATTCTAAGAGGCAGAACTGGAAGCTGGGAGACTAGTTAAGGAGGTGCTTGCAGCAAATGAGTTACAAGGTTATGGGAGCTTTAGGTGTAAAAACATTCTTGCCCATTCTTACCGAACTATTTTTTAGTAAAAAAATAGTTAAAGTTTAGTAAAGTTGGGACCAAGATCCAAATTTGGCAACAAGGCAGTGCATGGCTTTGAATTCTTTGGTGCAGTATTTAAATGTGCCTTTGCACAGCTCTTCCGGTTGTAATGTTATTCTACTCTCACTACACAAATTTTTGCTCAGGACTGAAGTCTTAATTGTAAGATTCTTCAACAAGCATGTCCAAAATTCACCAAGGTTGGGTTATGTGTCCTATAATTTTCCATTTGCATACAGGGTTATGCCTTTTACAGCTCATAATTGTTTACATATGCATACATATGAACTTGCATACAAAGGCAGGGTCTCACTATGTAGCTCAGGCTGGCCTGGAACCTGTAATCCTCCTGCTTCAGCCTACTGAGTGATGGAATTATAGGTGTGCATCATCATACCCAGCTTTTGTTCTATATATGAATTGTAAATTTACTTTTCTACCATTCCTACTAGACTCTAAGCTGCTAGATGCAGGAACTGTGGCTTTTATAGTCATTTCATTCTTGCACTTAGAATTAGACAATTAAGCCGGGTGCCAGTGGCTCATACCTGTAATTCTAGCTACGTAGGAGGCAGAGATCACGAGAATCACTGTTCGAAGTCAGCCTGGGCAAATAGTTCTCGAGATCCTATCTTGAAAATACCTATCACAAAAAAAGGGCTGATGGGGTGGCTCAAGGGTAGGCCCTGAGTTTAAACTCCAATACTGCAAAAAAAAAATTAGACAATCAATGAATTATCAATATTTAATTGTATGTGCATATATCTTGAGTTAATTCTTAGATTATGTCTGTGTGAAAAAAATTCATCAATAGATTGGCATAGATAATTTCTTTAAGCCTACAACAGAGAATATCTCTTTGGAGTTTGATATCTCTTAGAAATTCCTCTTTGAGGCAAGTTCACAGCCTGGGTTGCATAGTGAGATTCTGTCACCTTAACTGAATGGCCTTGGTCGCCATCAGTGAGCAGATGGTGAAGGGTTGCTTGGGATTCATGAATGAATGTTGCCCTTCACTGTGGCTGGGGTCAACTGTCATCTGCAGGCAGCTGTAGAACTTCTTTTTCTTTTTTTGCCGTACTGGGGTTTGAACTCAGGGCCTACACCTTGAGCCACTCCACCAGCCCTTTTTGTGTTAGGTATTTTTGAGATAGGGTCTCGAGAACTATTTGCCCCAGCTGGCTTCAAACCATGATCCTCCTGATTACTGCCTCCTGAGTAGCTAGGATTACAGGCATGAGCCACTGCACTCAGCCCAACTACAGTGTTTCTGGCAGTATGTAGCAAGGGTGGAAAGGCATTCTATGCACCAAGTTGCCTAGATAGCTCCCTAGGTCCAGCTGGGGTCCAGAAGAGGGAGGTTGGCCTTTCTGTCATCCATAGTTTCCTTCATGTAATGTGATTGATTTGAAAAACAGGTGAGGCAACCTTGATATGCTAGTCCATGATTTATCATCAATACCAATTTGAACCTCATCAGTGGGTGGGCATTAGATACACAGTATCCAATAAGATTTTCCTTTTTGTGGTGTAATTTGTTTTTGGCAGTGTTGGGGATCAAACCCAGGGCGTTGTGTATGCTAGGCAAGTGCTCTACCAGTAAGCTACACCCCAGCCTGTGATACAGTTCTCAACCTAAAGTATAATCCTTTTTTAAACATCTCCCAGACTCCCACCAAGACAGGGCTGGCGATTGATTCTAAATGTTCGTGGGCTGGAGACTCACCTCAGAAGCCTGGTATCAGATGCTTGGCCTCTGCTTGGAGAGGTTCTGTTCTAAGTCTGAAGATGGGTCCAAGAACTTCATTTGCTAAAAACTCTGCTGCTGGCTCATGGCCCGCTCTTTAAAGAGGAAAGTGGTCACGTGCTTCCATTAAACAAATCATTTATTTATTTATTTATTATTTGTATATTTTTGGTTTTTTTTGAGACAGGGGCCCACCATGTAGCCTAGTCTGGCCTTGAACTTGAGATCTTCTGGCCTCATCCTCCCAAGTGCTGGGCTTACAGGCTGTACTACCATGATGCCTGACCTCTCCCCTAAATTTAAGCTGTGTGTGTATATGAGAGAGAGAGAGAGAGAAAGAGAGAGATTTGCTTCTTGGGTACTTTTTAAAAAGCAACCTTCCAACTTGACCATGTGCTCTAAGTGGGAATAGGTGCTAATATGCTCTGTGTTTCTTCACCTGTGTCATTCCTGATGTTTCTTACCCCCATTTTAATCAATTCTCAGGAAGGAGCTTAGATTTAGGGCATGTCTATCCTAAAGAAAACTGTCCTGGGTATCCATTTGGATCAAAGGGTCTTTCGATTTGTGGTTTGCGGGAAGGACCACAGATCTGTTACTTAGGATCGTTGCTGGATTTCCCAGGAGGCATGTAAAAAAGGTCTTCCCTCTCCCCTACTGGGTCCAAATCTTAAATATATAGCCTTGATCACCCTTATTTTAGTCTCTCATTCCCCCCTCAAATCAGTGTTCGGTTCCAGACAATCCAGGTTATGAGATCCCATGGCATTCTTCAGTGCTGGTGATTGAACCAAGGGTGCCCCCCCATGCTAGGCAGTGCCTCACCACCGAGCTACATCCCCAAACCCTAGCACGCTTGGCTTCCACCTGACTTCCCACTAGCAGTGAGGCTTCAGAAGCCCAGTTAGAGTCAAGCATATCATTTTATACTATTTACTTCATTATTTCTAATTGTAACTAGAAAGAAAATAAAAACAGAAACACTTATTACATTTAAACTTGAATTTAGTTCTTGCATTAAAGATGGTATTCTAAAAACTAAGGCTAGGTACATTTTATCCTCAATTGTCCTTGTCACAGCATTTAAAAATAAAAGGAACATGTAGTGCAGCAATTTATTGCACTTTAGCCTCAGAATAGTACTATATTTTTCAATATATTATTCATTATAATTTACTATTTTTCAAAAGAATCTTCTCTGTTCATTTTAAAACAATTTTAAAAAAGCCCTTCAATACATTTAGACCTTGAATATTTATTCATTTCTTTTACTTACCCTTTAATAAATAAATGGAAGTTAAGTCAGGATATACATTTTTTTTTAAAGATAGTCAAGCTGACATTTCTTCTTATCTTTCTTTTATACAGGTGTTTGCTTCAGAATGGTAAGTCAATACAATCTGTTTATTTTATTTTATTTTTGCCCTTTTCCCATTTATAGTCACAGAGCTAGAAAGTGTTCTATGTAATGCTAGTCTGTGCTTGTTTCCCGCTCTTGACAAGAAATGAAAAAAATGTATGAATTTGTCCTTAAAATTACTGATCGTGATTTTTTCTTAAATCTGTCTTTAAAAATAGTCTATTAAAAGCATTATTGCTCCTAGTTTTTAGTTAGTGTTTTCTGTGAATCTGAAAAGCATTCTGTCACGGTGAGTCAAGTTGAACATTTTGGTTAGGGGCATTGAATAAAAGGACTGGGATGGCCCACATGTTCTGGATGGGAAAACCCTCCAGGCAAGGGAACCCAATTCCCACTGCAAAATGAAAAATGGTAAATTAGCAGTTAAAACTCCTTGTCTTTTAAAATTTTTATTTTCAAAAGTACTCCTTCCCTAACAGTTCATTGTCGCTGGTATTTTCAGTTACAGCCTGAGCTGTGAGCTCTGGTTCCCAACCCCTCAGAGTTCTGCTCGTTCCCTCCAGTCAGGTTTGTGTTGTGAGAGCCCTGTCCTCCAGAATTCAGGTTTCTTTATTTTCTTGACAGATTTTCAGATCAAAGCCTACATCCGTCTTACTGTAGCCATTTCTGTTTGTGTTGCTTCCTCTGTTGAGGCTGAGCACAGAGCTTGACCACCAGACTTCCAGACAGCGTGTTTTTAGAAAGTTCTGGCAGATCGGTCCACAAAACTTTTTAGTATATGTGGTTAAAGTAATTCAGAATCAAACTGTTGCTCTTTTTTCATTTTCCAGTAGCAGAACTGAATTTGAAACTGGGAAAAGGAGGTTTTTGTTTTTTTTTTTAAAACCTTATTAATAATAACAGAAGAGATGATTTTACCCCTAGGCATTTATAACATTTTTGTGACAAGTCCAGAGCCAACGCAAAATGTCAGAATCCTCCAATCATACAATAATTCTGTAAACCAGCATGTCTAGGTTGGTGTTCTTGCTAGTTTAATTTTCTTATTAAAATTACTTCCTCCATTTTAGATTGGAAATTTCAAAATTTTTTACTCTTTGTTTCTGCCTGTGAATACTCTGTGTTGAGCATAAGTGAATCATTTGTGTCAGTGTGGAGAATCTTGGATTGATTGTCCTGTGGAGCCCAGACTAAAAGTGTAACTCAGGGCTGACAGGTATCAGGAAAAGACAACTGAGTGTTGTGAATCCCAAAGCATCACAGAAACTGGTTTTGAAGTAATACCCTCCATCACTTATTTTGTCGTACCGTGCTTGTGTTTACTGAGAGTGGGATTTAACAGAATCCCATTAATGAAGGTTCTTTTGAGTGCGTTGCTGCAGGCCAGCTGCACAGTTGTTGCATAGACTATTTTAGAAGAGCGATTCTCAGCAGGCACTTTGGAATGCTGGAATAAGTGTGGCATGAGTTCTGACCTTCGATGCTGTCTTCTCTGCTGTTTTCTCCTGGAACCAGTACACAGAAGATGAAGCAAAGAAGATGGGAGTGGTGGGCTGGGTGAAGAACACCAGCAGAGGCACCGTGACAGGCCAGGTGCAAGGCCCTGCAGAGAAGGTCAACTCCATGTGAGTAGTAAGGCTGACATGCATGAAACCTGCAAGCCTGTTTCAATGTTTCACTGGGCTATGAAAAGGGTACTGATGGGCCAGATTTAGTTTATCAATTATAATTAAACTCTCATGTCTTTAGGCAGGTCAGCAAACCCTTTGCAGAGCTGGGGTGGTATTTCTGTTTAGGAGTTGATCTCCCACTTAGGCCGCAAGAAGAGCTGTTGTGTCATTTCAATCTATATGAATTTGTTCTCTCGAGTCTCCACCTGCTGGGGTTTGAACTCAGGGCCTCATACTTGCTAGGCAGGTACTCTCTACCACTCAAGCCACAACCCTAGCCATTTTTGGCTTTAGTTATTTTTTGGATAGGGTCTTGCAATTTTTGCCCAGTGCAGGCTAAACAGTGATCCCCCTACCTATGCTAGCCTTATAGCTGGGATTATAGGTGCTCCTCATTGTATCTGGATTACTTGTTGAGATGGGGTTTCACTAACTTTTTGCTGTAGCTGGCCTCAAACTGTGATCTTCCTGATCTCTACCTCCTGAGTAGCTGGGATTAAAAGTGTGAGCTTCTTTGTCCTGGTTAAAGTTCTTAAAGTAGTCTTCAAGGCAGAAATATGCCATCTCCTTTTTTCCCCTTATTTATCTAATGATAATTTTATTTTTACTGTCAGTGAACTATGTTTAGTGAGCTCTATCGCTACCATGTAGTCCAAGAGAGACCACATTTAGTAATACAAGGAACATCGCCCTGTATACACAGTGTCATTTTCAGAGACCTTTTTTTTTCAGTGGCAGCATTTCTACTGCTTCCTGGAATCTATTTTCTTTTTTAATAAAAAAAAATAGCTACCTTTTTTTGAGCATTTACAACTTGTTGGGGAATATGCTAAACACTTTATGTGCGTTATCTAGTTTAATTGTCACAGCAGATCCTATGAGGTAGGCACTAAATAATACCCAGTTTATTTTATTCTATTGTTTATAAACTACCTTTGTTTTCATTACTTGATATTTTCAGATTTCAAAAGCAAAGTCATTTCAGTGGTGATATAATGCAGGGAGATGTGAAGGGAAGCTTGTAATCTGCCCCTCTGGTCCCTCCCTTGGTGTCATCCCGCCACTAACTTTGTGAACGCTGTCAACAGTTTTCTCTTCCACATCACAATATTTAAGTGCATGTTTATAATCAAAATTTTGCTTGATACTGAAATGGAGTACTTGCCTAATTTTCCGTAACTTGCGTTTTGATTTTATGGACATCCAACAATCAGTAAATATATAATTACTATTTTTTTCTAACTTATTTATTTGTGAAACTACACTCCAATTTGAAAAGTGGGGTCCAAAAATTCATTTCATAAAATGAGGATTAGCAATTAACCATTAGCAGTAGATTGTCACAAAATACGCAAAGATCATGAGACTTGAGTGTATAAAACTCATGGTTCAATGGCGTTTGGAGTAAACGCCAAATGACTGTGAAGTTTAAGAATGGAGCCGGCGGAGGATGGTCACTGGCGCCACTCACACTGTAGTCTCAGTCCCCATTGGAGCAGCAGGTCTCTGACCGACTGACTTCACATCAATGGAATTGTGCCACTCAGCCTCCTTTTCAACCCTGCATCCTTTATTGCCCTTTCCGAGTAATGTGTACTAGCAAGCTGGTTTGTGTCTGTGGTCACATTCTCTCTGTCTGTCTCTTTCTGTTGTTGTCTCTGTCTGTCTTTTCTCTTTTTCACACACATATACACATGGACAGACACACACACACATTTATGGATTTTGCTCAATATTTGATTCTTCGTAACAAGGTCTATGCCATCTCTCCATCTCACTTTGTCACTCAGATACATCCAGGAAACCTTTGGAGTCAAGTGCCACAGCTCCAGTCCATTCCTTTAGTGACTGCTGAATACTGCACAGGATGGGCATGTCGTTATTTATTACCTTGCTTCTAGGAACTCGTTTTTTGTTTTTGTTCTTACAGTTGACGTTTCGTTTTGGCTGTACTGGGGTTTGAACTCAGGGCCTCATGTTTTAGCTAAGTAGGGCTCTACTGCTTGAGCCACTTCACTAGCCCTTGTTTTTGTTTTTGTTTGTGCAGTAAGAGCAATGCTGCAATAAACATTTTGTTGGTGATTTTATTTTTATGGGATAGATTCCTAAGAGTGTGATTTGTTGGGTGAAATGTCTGGTGTATTTTTCATGTAAAAATATACACCAGACTGATTTTCTTCATGTAGGTTTTGCACTTTTCTTGCTAAGTTTGCTCTGTTGTAGTTTAGTGACATTTTCACTATTGGGTATGGAATATTTTTCCTATTTCTGTTTGTAGGTGTTTATGCTTTTTGTTTTGTTTTGTTTTTCTGCTTTGGGACTGGGGTTTGAACTCAGGGCTTTGCACTTGCAAAACAGGTGCTCTACCATTTGAGCCACACCGCCAGCCCTTTTTTATCTGGTTACATTGGAAATAGGGTCTCACTCCGCCCCCCCCCCACCACCACAGCAGGCTGGGCTGGACCAAAATCCTGTTTTACACTGTATGTAGCTAGATGACAGGCGTGCACCACTATGCCTGGCTTTTTTCCATGAGATGGAATTTTGAGAATTTGTTTGCGCAGCTGGCTGAAACTTATCTTAGCCTCCTGCATAGCTGGGATGACAGGTGTGAGTGACTGGCACTCACTTTTTTTTCTTTTGTAGTACTAGGGTTTGAATTCAGGACCTTGAGCTCACAAGCTTGCTAGTTAAGTGCTCTATCACTTGAGCTACATTCCCAGTCCTGTTATGCTTTAGTTTTGTTTCGATAGGGTCTTATGTTTTGCCCAGGGCCAGCCTCAGACTGCAATCCTCCTTTCTCTGTATCCTGAGTAATCAGGATTACAGGTATGCATCACCCAACCTGGCCTTTCTTAAAATTTTTTTTATTGTTTTATTATTCTCATGTGCATACAGTGCTTGGGTCATTTCTTCCCCCTGCCCCCACCCCCTCTCTTACCACCCACTCCAACCCCTCCCCCACCCCCACCCCCTCAATACCCAGCAGAAACTATTTTGCCCTTATCTCTAATTTTGTTGAAGAGAGAATATAAGCAATAATAGGAAGGAACAAGGGTTTTTGCTGGTTGAGATAAGGATAGCTATGCAGGGAGTTGACTCACATTAATTTCCTGTGCATGTGTGTTACCTTCTAGATTAATTCTTTTTGATCTCACCTTTTCTCTAGTTCCTGGTCCCCTTCTCCTATTGGCCTTAGTTGCTTTTAAGGTACCTGCTTTAGTTTCTCTGCGTTGAGGGCAACAAATGCTAGCTAATTTTTTAGGTGTCTTACCTATCCTCACACCTCCCTTGTGTGCTCTCTCTTTTATCTTGTGATCAAAGTCCAATCCCCTTGTTGTGTTTGCCCTTGATCTAATGTCCACATATGAGGGAGAACATACGATTTTTGGTCTTTTGGGCAAGGATCACTCAGAATGATGTTCTCCAATTCCATCCATTTACCAGCGAATGATAACATTTCGTTCTTCTTCGTGGCTGCATAAAATTCCATTGTGTTTAGATACCACATTTTCTTGATCCATTTGTCAGTAGTGGGGCATCATAGCTATTTCCATAACTTGGCTATTGTGAATAGTGCTGCAATAAATATGGGTGTGCAGGTGCCTCTGGAGTAACCTGTCCTACCTGGCCTTTTTTGTACATTTATCTTACAGTGTTCCCTTATCAAATATTAATTCTACTAATTGTTCTTAAACTATACTGAATTTTCTAAATATATAACTAGTCAGTTACCAAAAATAATGTATCTTTCTTTCCATTGTTTATTTCATTTGTACACCCATCAAGACAGTGTTGAATAATAATAGCAGTAACTGACATCCTTGTTTGCTTTCTGATTTTTCCTTTTTTTTTTTTATTATCAATACATACACATTATATTGAAAATTAAGTCCACCTGAAATAATCTCAAAACACAGCACACAACATCACAAGTCCCTGGAGGACAATATAAAATAATCCTCTACAGAATAAAATATTTAGTATATAAGAATGTAAAATTAGGTAAGAAAAGAATCTGTTCAATTAGCTAAAATTTACTTACTAAAGATTATCTATTGAACAATATATCAGTTTCTCCTAAGAAATAAAGAAATACTACTATTCTCAACCTCTAAATTCAGTTACATACTGAAAACTTAATTTTTCTCAAGCTAAAGTTCTACAGCATTGTGAGTAAAACATTTGTTACTAATGAGGACATGGAAAACTGTATAACTTACAAAACAAATTCTTAGGGCACATGAGAACATTCACATCCTAGAGGCACACATTTCTATTGTAGTAAGTGCATTTAAGTACTCATATTTAAAAAAGACAAAGCTGTACAGAATAGAAAAGCATATTAAATAATTTACAACTTTTATGCTTAGATATTATAGTAGAACCTACCTAACATTCACATTTAAAGAATTACACCTCAGTTTAATGAAATGAGCGAAGAGCTGTGTTCAGTTGGTAAGGATAACAAAAACACTGCATGATTCACAGTAGATCAGTTAGTATCCTGGAGCTTATATTGTTAGATAAAAGGGTGTGGGCAGTATCAAGCCACAGAACTTACTGTTTAATAATCCCTTAAAGGTAAAGGATCTGGGGGATAAAAAAATTGGCTATGCCTGGACAGATCGCAAAACCCATAACCCATTTGTTTATTTTCAGAGAACATTCTAAAGTTAGGCAATCTGAATTAAACTCAACAGTCTAATCAAAAGGACAATTGAAATTTTTAGAGTTGGAAAACATCTCAGAGGATCACTTATCAAAGGTTTTCAAAGTATGTTCCATGGAATACTAAGAATCAATGGTGATTAGGGATATGCAAATTTGACCTTGAATTAACTTTATAGGACAAAAAAAATGAAAAAAAAAAGACGTCCATTACACGAATTTGTTATTCACCAAATTCCTAATATACTGCACACAACCAGTGCATTATTATACATTTTCAATTGGTTGGGCTTAGTATTTTTTCATTAT